AACTATAATAGTCACATACACATATAATAGTCACATACACATGAGAAAATAATTCACCTCACATGTAATGCATAACATCACTACTTCCTACCTACACTTATATCTAATACAATAATATAACCTACATCATTGTCTTTTATTTGCCATTAACATTTTAATCTACTAGATTATAAACTTGAATTGTTAGTGGTTTTTGATTGCGACCAATTGGTAGTGACTGTCTAAAGAGCTGTACTTAAAAGCGCTTTTAAGAGGGCATTTGGACTGGATGGGAAAGCATAGCACACACAATACCATAAACTCGACCATCCTCAGGAAATTAGCATACTTAATATGCAAACACTCATGACAAAAACATAAAATAAAATTTTGCATTATAATTTTCGATGGAGGTCCTCTTTGCTCCTTTCTTTCCATTGAAGCCAATAGACAGATTATAAAAAGAAACCCAGGGGACACACAGATGGCCTACCATTCCTAAACTACCACACATTGATTCTTTCTATTGCAGTAGGCAATAATTAAAAAGGGTTCTTTTCACTGGCTCCCCAAGAGGCGGGTGAGCTGGTTTAAGGCAGTGGTGCCCAATCTTTCTGGCACCAGGGACTGGTTTCGTGGAAGACAATTATTCCACAGACCCAGCAGGTAGGCTTGGGGTTCAGGATGAAACTTCCACCTCAGGCATTAGATTCTCATAAGGAGCATTCACCCTAGATCCCTCACCTGCTCAGTCCACAATAGGGTTTGTGCTTCTATGAGAATCTAAGGCCACCGCTGCAGATCTCACAAGAGGCGGACCTCAGGCAGTAAAGCTTGCTAAAGCTTGCTCGCTGTTCACCGCCTGCTATGCAGCCCAGCTCCTAACAGGCTATGGACCTGTACCTGTCCATGGCCCGGGGGCTGGGGACACCTGGTTTAAAGGGTCTATAGATTGATGCACAAACAACAGCACACGGCTCTGGAGCAGGGACTGGGACTTGAAGACTCTCCTCATTCATTCCATAAGTAATTACTGAGCATTTGGTTATGCCTGGCACATTCACTTCCTCAGCTAATTTTAATTTGGTAAGATTTTAAAAAAATCATTGTAAAGAAAAAGGAATCCGACTTTTTTTTTTAAATAAAATGAGAAGGAAAGAGCAAGGAAGTACAAACATGCTTTATTGGGGTTGAAAATAAAAATCCCGCCTATGACAGCCAGGCAAAGGAAAGCATTTTCCCAAAGCAATAACCTAAAGAATCAAAGATCTCTGTAAGCCACAACTATTCCCTTGCACTGTTTCTACCTCATACTAAGTTCTTCACCTCACACAACATACTCGGTTAGTATGAATTACACGCAAATTCAACAAGCTACAGGAGAAGGGTCTTGCATTACTCATACAAGGTTTTTATACTCTTCATCTTTTCACAGCTGATTTCAGCTGCCCTTGTCATTTCCTCAGCTTAACCATGAGTCAAAGGCTAGGCTCATTTCTCAGCAACTTTGGTCCAGAGAAGAAATAAGATCCTTTCTCAGTTTGAAACTGCACTACCCATATTTTCTTTCCAATTACAACTCAGCAGTTTCTTTGGATTTTACTCAAATAATTTACCTGAATTAACTTCTCACTTGTTTAAAAAAAAAAAAAAAATCTGCGTTCTGAATTCCTTTAAAAGCTCTAAATTACTTTACCAATCTACAAATTATCAATTTACTCCCCTTCAGTGTCATAAAGAAAACGCCATTTTGGCCCGGCATGGTGGCTCAGGCCTGTAATCTCTGCAGCTTGGGAGGCCGAGGCAGGAGGATGTCTTGAGCCCAGGAGTTCAAGATCAGCCTGGGCAACACAGGGAGACCCTGTCCCTATATTTTTTTAAATTAAAAGAAAAAAACAAAAAACCCACTACTTTAACCACAAAGTTTTCTCTGCAGAGTTTTCTCTGGGCACGTCACTCACAGTCCCTGCTGAAGTGATGAACCTCCAGGCAGCCCTGCCCCCTCAACCAGGGCTTATCAAATCAGGCTGGCTCAAGCCTGATCAAGCCTAGGCTCAATCACCCGGCTCAAGCCCAGCCAATCAGATTCTCTCTCTAGATGAATGGTGTTGGACAGTAGAGTTCCATGGTCACGCTGGGCTGGAAGCTGGAATGGCCATTCTTCACTATGTGCTAAAGCAGAGAAAACCAGAGTTTGGACAGAGAGGGAATGACCCCAACTCAGGTACAGAAGGAAATGAGAGATTGCAGGTTGGTTGTTACTGAAAGTGACTTTGTCTATCACATAATTCCCAGTTCAGCTCTCTCTTGAGGCTGCTATACTTCTAGCACTTGGCTTCAGTAAGACATCCCTGTATCCTATACATATATTTCTATTTTTCCTTAAACCAGGTTAATTATGTTCCTAATCGTTGTAATGAAATGGTGCCTAAGATAGCTGTATGTATAAGTGGTAACTTCCAAACTCCTATTCCATGCTGTATGAAGCAGCAACTTTAAGAAATTAAGAAGTTGGCCAGGCGCGGTGGCTCACGCCTGTAATCCCAGCACTTCGGGAGGCGGAAGCAGGTGGATCACCTGAGGTCAGGAGTTCGAGACCAGCCTGGCCAACATGGTAAAACCCCATCTCTACTAAAAATACCAAAATTAGCTGGGCATGGTAGTGCATGCCTGTAATCCCAGCTACTTGGGAGGCTGAGGCAGGAGAATCACTTGAACCCAGGAGGTGGAGGCTGCAGTGAGCCAGGACTGTGCCACTGCATTCCAGTCTGGGTGACAGAGTAAGACTCTGTCGTCTCAAAAAAAAAAAAAAAGAAATTAAGAAGTTAAAGTTAAAAAATCAGAGGTGGGGGAGAAGAAAACAGCAGAGAAGAGAAAAAATAATCGGATGAAAGGGTAGGCTTTTAAAAAATAAATGTTAGATTCATTTAAAAACATCAGTACCTTTCATATGATAAGCACTGACTGTGCTAGGCGGTAGGAGATAAAAAAAAGATGGGGAACTCGCGGTCCTTGCGCCCAGTGAGCACAGTCAAATGAGTAATTGCAATTCAGGATGTGAGGCCATGTTATTTGAGGTCTACACAATGTATCATGAGTATATGGCCAGGGGAGGCAAGCATTCAGAGACAGTTCTTTTTTTTATTTTTTTGAGACACAGTCTCCCTCTGTCGCCCAGGTTGGAGTATGGTGGCGCGATCCTGGCTCATTGTAACCTCTGCCTCCCAGGTTCAAGCGATTCTCCTGCCTCAGCCTGCCAAGTAGCTGGGATTACAGCATGCACTACCATGCCCAGCTAATTTTTTGAATTTTTAGTAGAGATGGGGTTTCACTATGTTGGACCAGGCTGGTCTCGAACTTCTGACCTCAGGTGATCCTCTTGCCTTGGCCTTCCCAAGTGCTGGGATTACAGGTGTTGAGTCACTGTTCCTAGCCTCAGAGATAATCTGGAGTTGGATGAGAACAGAAAGGTGGGAAACACTAAACAAATAAGCGTTAAAAACCATTTGCATCAGTGGCAGCCAGACAGAATAAACTTCTGCAGATTGCAAAGATAACAAAGCCAACGATGGCAACATTAGACCATTCAACAATTAGTTCAGGAAGGAAGTTTCTGGAGGTCGGAGTCCGCTCAATTTGGCCTTGCATCATAAAGGTACTTAAACCATACTATCTCAAACAGCATGGTCAAAGCAAAATAATTCTTTCAGTAGTCATGATCTCACAGATTACATCTTAGAGTGAATAATAAAATAAGAATTCATAATATTAACTGTAAAAGATATTTTGTTATTTCAGGAAACTGAAAGACATGAGAAATATTTTATATGAAATGTTAAAAGAATAAAATAAAATAATCTTGTAATATTTTCTAAAAACAAAAAAATACATAAATCATATGCCAATATAGTACTTTTTTTTTTTTTTTTTTTTTTTTGAGACGGAGTCTCGCTCTGTCTCCAGGCTGGAGTGTAGTGGCGCGATCTCGGCTCACTGCAAGCTCCGCCTCCCGGGTTCACGCCATTCTCCTGCCTCAGCCTCCCGAGTAGCTGGGACTACAGGCGCCCGCCACCACGCCCGGCTAATTTTTTTTTGTATTTTTAGTAGAGACGGGGTTTCACCGTGTTAGTCAGGATGGTCTCGATCTCCTGACCTCGTGATCCGCCCGTCTCGGCCTCCCAAAGTGCTGGGATTACAGGCGTGAGCCACCGCGCCCGGCCAATATACTACTTTTGAAGTGTCTGAACTGCTATTCCCTTCTAGGAATGTATTCAAATGTAGTAATACAGACCACAGAAAAATCCCACATAAAATATTTTAGACAGCATAACAAAAAAAATCAAGAGCAGGCCGGGCGTGATGGCTCATGCCTGTAATCTCAGCACTTTGGGAGGCCACGGCAGGCAGATCACCTGAGATCAGGAGTTCAAGACCAGCCTGGCCAACATGGTGAAACCCCGTCTCTACTAAAAAATGTAAAAAAATTAGCCAGGCATGGTGGCACATGCCTGTAATTCTGCCTACTCAGGAGGCTGAATTGCTTAAACCTGTGAGGCGGAGGTTGTGGTGGAGCGAGATCACACCACTGCATTCCAGCCTGGGCGACAGAGTGAGACGCTGTCTTAAACCAAAACAAAACAAAAAATCAAGAGCAAGGTAAACATCCAGTAGTAAAGATTATAATATTATACTGTTGTTGAAATACCATTTGATGAAATGCATCTTAGCCACTAAAAAGAATAAAGACAATGTAATAACAGGATGAAATAGTCAAGTCGGAAAAAGGATATAAAATTTTGTGTATACTCTTAATTAGAGTAGCACATATAAAAGAAAAGCTTATAAAACTTCAGAAAATATGGAAAAATACTATAAAGGAAAAGTGGTAATGTTCACGTTACTTTGTAAGATAAATAAGTAGTTTGTTTTCCCAATTTTTGGAGGTCAAGTTGTCCTATCTGTAAACTTAAAACACCCCTTCTTTTATTCTCTTAAGTGTTAGAAATAAAATGTAAACTTACTTCATCAGAAGCAGATCGAAGACACTGGACAGCAGCCTGTTTTTTCATTTCTTCTAGAGTTAGATCTGAACATTTTTTCTTACTCTTTCCCCATTTCTTATAAGCTCCTTTTTCCCAGCCCAGGAAGATGTCATTCTCCTGCAATGAAATTGCACCAGGTTAAATGACCAGGGCTAATGTGGACACTACTATATTCCACCTACCACACATACTCAGTCACAAAAAGGCCTCTTGCATTTCCATACGAATTTTAGGATCAGCTTGTCTATTTCTGCGATGAAGGGAGCTGGGATTTCAAGAGGGATTGTACTGATTCTGTAAAACACCTTGGGGTGTACTGCCATCTTAACAGTATTGTTTTCTGATGACAAACATGGGATGTTTTCTATTTATTTAGGTCTTCTTTGATTTCTTTCAAAGATGCTTTATAGTTTCTGGTGCACAAGTCTTGCACTTTTGTCAAATTTTTTCTTAAGCATTATATTCTTTTTTATACTATTGCAAATGGAGTTTTTTCTTAATTTCATTCCTTAGGATTTTCTCTATATTCTATACAAGATCATGTCATATGTGACTAGAGTCTTACTTCTTCCTTTTCAATTTGGATGTCTTTTCCTTACCTAACTGCCCTGTTAATGCTGATTTATAATAAAAGTTTATGTATTTCATCTTTGAAAATGTCTTCACACAAATAGAAATTGCCAAATGCTGGTATTAATCCACAAGCATGAGTTTAACTGAACATAATTTGCTTAGAAGGCATTTAGAGAATTCTTTTAAATTCGTATCTTGATATTTGCCTTCTAGCATGTCAGTATATTGTAGATTAATACTAAGGAATGAAAGTCAATGAAAGCTCCTTGCTAACTTAAGTAGGCAAACAGATTCTGAGATAAAGAAATTTCCTTTGCACTGTGTATCAAGGTATGAAAAGTGCTGCTGGAACAGCAGTTGGAGCCTGGACAACTTATTCATGATAAATTTGTGTGGGGATGGAGATTTCACTTCTTGTTTTAACTTTTGACAGAATAAAAAAAGTATGAAGCAGTCTGACATTTTTATGATTCAAACAATGTTAGAGTGACTTTATCACATTATAAATTTTGTATACAAGTTCTGTTTTGCCTTGTAATTTTAGGTTGAATTAAGAAACATCAAATCTTTAGCAAAAGTTACATAAACAATAGTATATTACACACACTTGTTTGCATTCTATTATTTATACTTATATTTGAGAGGTCCCTCATGCTATTTTTTTTCTGGCTTAAGGTACTGTGTTAATGTATCATAACTTAACCAAAATTTAACAGCACTGAATTGTTAATCACAGTTTAAAGACATGACTATAAAAAGAGCCGAGATGTTTCTATTTCACTTATTGTTATCCTTGTAGTCTCCTATCCTGTACTATTAAAAGTCTACTTATGGCTGGGGGCGATGGCTCATGCCTGTAATCCCAGCACTTTGGGAGGCAGAGGTGGGTGGATCACGAGGTCAGGAGTGTCTCAAAAAAAAAAAGAGTCTGCTTATACATAAACATAAAATATGAGACATTTCTCAAATAGTTACTCAGAAAGTCCTAATCTTAAAGAAAGAACATAATTATCAAGTACCAAAAGCGGATACAACTAAAGAACTCCCCAGCATGAGAGTCTATTATCAGGTACTTTTCTAGACACTACAGGGAGGTCACGTAAGGCTAGAGTTCTGGTTGACTTTCCCATGCTGTCTGTATCAAAAGGGAGACTGGGAACTGGGGGAGAAAAAGCACACGCCACTTGGAAATCCATCAGCAGTCACTGGAGGCTCGCTGCTGAGCGTACGCCCCTGCCTAGCAGTGCCTAAATGACCAAAACCACAATGTGTCCGCATGGGATTAACACTACCCCCATCATCCCTTGGGCCACAAAGATTGGCCCAGAGAGAGGCACGTGGCCAATCAGAAATGCACATTTCATGGTTCTTGCTGGGAATGTAGGGAACATGACCTCTGGACAGTGTGTGAGAATATGATCCCAGAAACATGCTCATTGTCACTGCCCTTTACCCTATAAGGAGCTGGTTGCAAAACCAAGCTGACAAAAAGTGGTAGGCAGAAGGCAGAGCAGAAGCCTGAATGACACTGGGAAGCTCTGAATCAAACCTAGCAGGGGCCAGCCCAACGTCTGGACTTTCAGTTATTTAAGCCTTTTTTCCCCTTCAGCCAATTTCTGCAAAACTTTTGGTGACTTGTGAATTAGATACAGTCAGATTCTGAGAGCATTCAGTAATAATATGCTGATATATTACTCAAAAGAACCCCTATTTGCCCCTAAAAGATGAGCCACTCCAATCAAACAAGCATAATTTCAGGTTAACTATATTCCTGTTTTTTCCTACTAGGTGTTTAGCCCACAGTGATGACCTCCTCACTGACCTCCCTGCCTTCAGTGGCCCAAGCCCGTCTGCCCACTGCTATGCCATTAAGTCCTGCTGGCTAAATAGATCTACAGGTCTTTTGTCTCTAGGACATAACTAGAAATGCCCTCGCACAGCACATCAGTCTCTTCAGGGTCTGTTTCCCGCGGGCCTGCCCCACTCTGACCTTCAACTACCCACTCCTGACCTTACAGCACCAGGCCCCTCCTACTTCTGTGTCTTTGTACACACTATTCCTTTATTTTTCCTTCAAGGTGATTCCTACACTGGTAGTTGTCACTCAGGGACCATCCCTAGTTTTCTCTGTATTGATGCATTCACATTTGCACATAAAAGCAGAAATGTCAGTTTTAAAACATGGAATATTTATATTCAAAACTCTATTCCATGAGAACATTTTACACACACACGAAGTGTTAATGGTGTCTTGGGAAGTATATGAATTTGTGTACCAATCGTTAGCACCAATTCTCACTCTGAAATTATTTTCATATTCCTTATGTGTAAAATTTTATATATTTTCCTCTGCCTAACGTAAGTGCTAATGCAAAATCTAAACCTGATGGCGATGGGAAAAAAATTTAATCAATTTTCATATAAGAAATAAAAGTAATCTTATTAATCAAGGTCATTCCTAAAAGCTTGAGAGGAAGAATTCTTAGTTTTATTTTTTATTTCTGAGACAGAGTCTTGCTCTGTAACCCAGGATGGAGTGCAGTGGTGTGATCTTGGTTCATTGCAACCTCTGCTTCCCAGGTTCAAGAGATTCTCCTGCCTCAGCCTGAGTAGCTGGGACTGCAGGCGTGCACCATCACATCTGGCTAATTTCTGTATTTTTAGTGGAGATGGGGTTTCGCCACGTTGGCCGGGCTGGTCTTGAACTCCTGGTTTCAAGTGATCCGTATGCCTCGGTCTCCCAAAGTGCTAGGATTACAGGTGTGAGCCACCTCACCTGGCCAGCTTTATTTTAAATGTATCAATTCATTACTATCAAAAACATGTATTAGCTTCAAGCAACCTTTATAACAATTTTGAAATGGACTTTGTCTCAAAAAAAAAAAAAGCTGCTTTGAAAGTACAAGTCAGTTCCACCCCAACATCAAACATCAATCCTCAGGGGTAACTATTGTCAACAGTTGGCATATATCTTAACAGATTTATTGATTTATTTATTTATTTAGAGACGGAGTCTCTGTCGCCCAGGCTGGAGTGCAGTGGCGCCATCTCGGCTCACTGCAAGCTCCGCCTCCAGGGTTCACACCATTCTCCTGCCTCAGCCTCCAGAGTAGCTGGGACTACGGGTGCCCGCCAGCACGCCCAGCTAACTTTTTGTATTTTTAGTAGAGACGGGGTTTCACCGTGTTAGCCAGGATGGTCTCGATCTCCTTAGCTATGATCCGCCGCCTCAGCCTCCCAAAGTGCTGGGATTACAGGTGTGAGCCACCGCGCCCGGCCTACAGATTTATTTTAAATGTGGAATTCATCCCACATAGCAGAGCATATACAATGTAAATGTACAGTTTTAAGAATAATAATGTCTCTATCAGGTAACAGTCAGACCTAGAATACTCCCAGCAAGCTTAGAAGCCTCACGTGTCAAAAGCTATCTTTAGGCTGGGCATGGTGGCTCACGCCTATAATCCTAGCAATTTGGGAGGCAGAGGTGGGCAGATCACTTGAGCCCAGGAGTTTGAGAACAGCCTGGCCAACATGGCGAAACTCTGACTCCACAAAAAATACAAAAATTAGCTGGGCATGGTGGTGCGCACCTGTAGTCCCAGCTACTGGGGAGGCTGAGGTGAGAGGACTGCTTGAGCCTGGGAGGTGGAGGCTGCAGTGAACAGAGATCAGGCCACTGTGCTCCAGTCTGGGTGACAGAGTAAGACCCTCTCTCAAAAAAAAAAGAAAAAAAAAAAGCTATCTTTGTTATCCTAATACTTACTAGTTTGGGTAAGATCTTTTAGAATGGAGATAATTTTTCTCAGAATCTGAAAGGTATTGCTCCATATACTCTCAAATGCAACACTGTAAGTTAGAAATCCTAATTCTACAGAATGGGAGAAAATTTCTGCAATCTACCCATCTGACAAAGGGCTAATATCCAGAATCTACAAAGAACTCAGATTTACAAGAAAAAAACAACCCCATCGAAAAGTGGGCAAAGGGTATCAACAGATACTTCTCAAAAGAAGACATTTATGCAGCCAACAGATACATGAAAAAATGCTCATCATCACTGGCCATCAGATAAATGTAAATCAAAACCACAATGAGATACCATCTCACACCAGTTAGAATGGCGATCATTTAAAAGTCAGGAAACAACAGATGCTGGAGAGGATGTGGAGAAATAGGAACACTTTTACACTATTGGTGGGACTGTAAACTAGTTCAACCATTGTGGAAGACAGTGTGGTGATCCCTCAAGGATCTAGAACTAGAAATACCATTTGACCCAGCCATCCCATTACTGGGGATGTACCCAAAGGATTATAAGTCATGCTGCTATAAAGACACACACACACGTATGTTTATTGCAGCACTGTTCACAACAGCAAAGACTTGGAACCAATCCAAATGCCCATCAATGACAGACCGGATTAAGAAAATGTGGCACACATACACCATGGAATACTATGCGGCCATAAAAAAGGATGAGTTCATGTCCTTTGTAGGGACATGGATGAAGCTGGAAACCATCATTCTCAGCAAAATATCAC